ACGGCACCGACAGCGCCAAAGCTCCCAAAGTCAGCTGCGAGGAGAGGAACGGCACTGGCCCCAGCCGCTTCACGCTGCAGATCCTGAACGTGTCCCAGGTAAGCACGGCGCCCGGTCCGGGGCTTGGCGGGACTCTGAGCACCTTGGGATGGTGCAAGATGCCCCGTCAGTGCTGTCTGAGTGTCCCTCGGCACCTGACACTGTGAATTCCCTTCCGTACCATCCCCTGTGCTCTCAAAAAGAGGAAACCGCCGAGCAAGGAGGCTTTTCCTGTCATTTCTGAGCAAGAAAATTGGCTGTATGGCTCAGTCCACGCGCCTGTGTCTCTCACCTGCGTGCCTGCAGTAAACCATCAGCATTTAGACTAGATATAAGGAAGAAATTCTTTACAATGAGGGTGGTAAAACACTGGAACGGGTTGCCCAGAGAGGGGGTGGAGGCCCCATCCCTGGGAACATTCCAGGCCAGGTTGGACGGGGCTGTGAGCAACCTGATGTGGTTCAAGGTGTCCCTGCTCCTGCAGGGGGGTTGAGCTGGGGGACCTCTAGGGGTCCCTTCCAACCCAAAATATTCTATGATCCTATGATTCCGTGCTGTGTGGATTGGTGTCTCTCCCTGAAATTGTTAATGGCACTTATTGCCAGTACTAGTGCCAGTTTCTAGCCTGTTTCTTGTAATAGTTATGCTTTTTTTTTTTTAAGTAATAAACCTTTAAAACAACCTTTAAAAAAGGTTAAATATACTTCTCCATCTGTTTTAAACAAATGGGCAGCTACGCGATTGATATTGCCAAGTGTCTAATGGATTGCCAAACGATGCATTCCTGTGTAGGATTTAACTCTGTTAATTATGTAATTGCCCATGTTTGTTTTCCTTCTGCTTTCTTGAAGGACCTGATGGAGTTCTTAAACCCAAACAGCAGTGACTGTACGTTAGTGCTCTTCTATACGCCGTGGTGCCGCTTTTCGGCCAGTCTGGCACCTCACTTTAATTCTTTACCTCGAGCGTTTCCAACTCTTCGCTTCCTGGCGCTGGATGCATCTCAGCACAGCAGGTAACGTATGCTTCCTGCGCTCTACCAGTTTATTTCTGTTAGCAAGTTGTGTGTTTTAAAAACAGGAGTGGTTTGTTGGTTTCGTTTGTGGCTTTTTTTTTTCTTATAAAGTGACAATTTAATTTAGTAAAACTGACACTCGGGTACAGTGACTATTTTTGTTTTCTTTCCGCAGTGGATTTCTTTTCTTTCATGCTTTGTATTTGCTTTATGTCCACCAGTTTATCAACTAGATTTGGAACTGTGGCTGTACCAAATATCCTCCTTTTCCAAGGTGCTAAACCTATGGCTAGATTTAATCATACAGACCGAACGCTGGAAACGCTGAAAGACTTCATTTTTAATCAAACAGGTAAGTAAATTGGGAAGAACAGGCTGGCTCTTAGCTCCAAACTGGGCTTTCCCCTCCCTATTGTTTGTTCTTTAAAATGAATTTCATGAAGACCCCGAGAGGACCCAGCAGAGGTTTGTATCATCAGCTGCTGTAGCGTGCTGGATTTTGGGGCATGCTGAAAGCAGAGACTCAACTCTGCTGTCACAGAGGAGGAGGAAACGGTGGGGTTTAGCTCGAGAGGGTGCTAGAAGGATGGAGCACATATCTCTGCCCGAATATTTAATTTGGGAGTAAAGGCAGATGAACCTTGGGATCATTGCCAGAGCCAGGTAAGGGTGACAGCAGCTGTGGGATAAGATGGTTGCAGTTCTTGTGCTGGAGGAGACAAAAGGATTCCAGTTTCCATGATCTGTCTGTCCATTTCGTGAGCTCTGTGCCAGCCAGCTCTCTGGTCCTTCTGTGCTTCCGTAAAGAAAAACAAAACAAAAACACCTATAGGCCCACGAGGGCCCTCATTAGAGGCCAGAAATTGTTGTATCTGCTAATACAGCAGAAATACTTAAAAGCTCCACAAACTGGAGGTATTTAAAAGAAGGATAGATGAGGTGCTTAGGGACAGGGTTTAGTGGTGGGATGGCAGGGTTAGGTTAAAGGTTGGACTCGATGATCTTGAAGGTCTTTTCCAGCCAAAGTGATTCTGTGATTCTATGAAACAAAACCCCTGCAAACTGACACAAGGCTGTGCTGCGGAAGGACAGAACGAGCCGTATGTGTCGATAGCCTTTTGTTTTTACGTCGGTAAACTATATGCTAGACGTATGTTAGAATACAAGGACCGTCTCACCAAAATTTTAAGTCTAATGGTACATACACCTTAGTCTGAGAGGAGGACCAAAGCTCCGCATACAACCAACTTCTCTGTGTTTAATGATTATTACTGGTGTTGATCAGCTGCTTGCTTTTTCAGGTATAGAAGCTAAAAGCGATGTGGCTGTGACCAAGGAAGACTGGGAAGGGCCCCTGCCTAGCGTTCTGACAAAAGGCATAGACTGGCTGCTTCTCTTTTCTTTGCTCTTCCTGGCCAGCTTTGTCATGTACGCTACCGTTCGAACAGAGAGCATTCGGTGGCTGATCCCGGGACAGGAGCACGAGCATCAGGAATAATCCCAGGTGCTGGAATAGGGACAGAATTTCCAGCTTATTGGGTAAAGCAGGAATTTGTATGGACTAGAAGTATGTAAGAATGAACTGCTGAATTTGTTCGTTCTAATTTATAATATTGACGAAAAATCTGCTTTATTTATCAACTACTGAATCTGTAAAAAGCAAATTCCTGGCGATTAATGCGGAAGGTAAACAAATATGAAAAAACACAAACTAAAAATGTATTTATTAAGCTGCTCTCATCAGCTTATTTTTCATGGCCTTTCACGTAAAGAGGTGATACGGTGATACCTCTCCTGAAGGGATCCCCAAGCTTTGCAGATCGAGTGAGATTTTTACAGCACACTGGCCTGTACGCATGGGTCCGCAGAGCTGCTGCTCTGGTAGAATCTGAGGATCTTCTTTTACAGGTCCTACAGGCCTATGAACTAAATAAAGCTTCTATAAGGACAATGTGGTAAACGCTATAGCATGAGGAGGTGTTGGCCCACACAGATCATGCTCAAGTTTCCGGCTCGTGTATTCCCGAAATACAGCATTTTAAAGGAAAAGGCTGGTGAATGGTGATGTTGCTAAATTAGTTTGACTGTCAGTAAAACGAACTACGAAGAAAAAGATGTTTTTTAAAAACCAGGGTCCTTCAAATGAGTTACTCCGTTGCACGCCAGCAGTACTGGTTCAGCTCCGGGCAGGGCGGCCGTTGCCCACCGTCGGTGCTGGGGTTAGATGCTGGTTTTCTTGTCCACTGCGCTCTGTCAGTTTTGACTTCTTCCTAAGATTTAGAGTAACTTCCAAAGCTCACCTCACTGGCTGTGCACATACACAATTTATTTACCACATTCCTATAGCATTAAATTGTAGTTGTTGTCCTTTTTTTTTTTTTAAGTCAGTCAGGTTTTTAGTGTAACCTTTTAAGTCCCTTTCTTACAGGATTAAAACTTCTGAAGTACAAATCACCAGCCTAAATTAGCAAGACCAACCTTGAGACTTATGTAAATGTCTACTAATGCGTTTGCTGGTTGCACAGTCCGCAGCCGAGGCTACATAAGGAATTGATACGGGTTGGTTATAATGAGTATGGAAGACTTTGAATAAAGTAGGGACTGGTACATTGTATAGGTTTTTGATTATTTGACTGTATAGCATCTATAGACAGTGGAGGCTTGCCATAGTGCCCTCACGGGAACATTTAGACTGCAAATTAAGCTACGAGGAAACAATGACAGACCGAAGAGGGTTTTTTTGGCAAAGAGCTTGTAATTTTTCAGGTATTTTTCTGGCGGCCGTATCTTTCTCCTTTGGAAAGCTGAGGTCCTGTATTTGTGTGTATTAAAAGGAAACGGCACTGATACATCTTTGGTATTACTGAAGATGAAGATAGGAAGTCTTTTATTAATTAATAAAGATTGAAGGTGTTGAGCAGTAACCTGGAGTGTTCTCGCCTCTGCCACCCGGTTCATCCGACGGGCCCGGGGCCGGGCTCTCCCCCGTAGCCGCAG